AGCTGCTCGCCCTCCGCTGACGGCGAAAGGCGCCCAGACCCTCAGACACGAGCCCCTCCTGCGTCTCCCCGTCCACTTGGAACCTAGGAGCAGTTGGGGCCCCCCGCACACCCCAAGAAATGAGTGGGTGAATGCGGGGCCGCCTAATACAGCCCGGCTGTGACGTCCCTCACCACCGTTCAGCAGCCCTGCCTTCCCTTCGCCGCCTCGTGGCAGCCTTGCGGGCGGGCCGCGCTCCTTACCCCAGGCGCACAGTAGGTGCCTTCAAGGCGGGCCGCGCTCCTTACCCCAGGCGCACAGTAGGTGCATTGGAGGGGACCGGGCGCGGGCTTTGTTTGTGAAGGGGCAACAAACGTAGCGGATCCTTGATGGGCGTCACCCGTTGAGCGGGACCTCCCAGCCCAGCGAGACATCAGCCGGCGCAGAACCTGCCGACCCTGGGGCTGGGGCTGCCCGTGCTCCACTTGGGCCACTCGGCCTAAGGCGACCCAGCGGCGCCCTGACCTGGCTGGCAGGAGGTGTCCATCCCAGCAAGCCGACCCCCGCACCGTGTGCGTGCAGCACGCTGCCCACGAAGGCTTGTCTCAGACTCGTCTCAGCCAAGGGGGTGCAGCAGGAACGCACGTCGGGGTGTCCGGGCGAAAGCACTCCGGAGGAGGGCCACCTGTCTCGTCTCACGGGGCCCAGGGGACCCTGCTCACAACGGGGTGGGAGCTGGCCCTGCGGGGACAACGGGGGACATCACAGCCCGCGCACCCAGGGCGTTCACCGGACCTGGCTTCCCCTCCTTCAGGCAGGTGCACACCTGCTTTCAGGGCTTCCTCGATGCCCTTGACTTTTCTCCGCCATTTCTCCAACTCCGACCTTTACCCCCTTGAACTATTCCACGGATTTCTGGAGTGTCAAGAGCTGCACCATCGACCTCGTTCTGTTCCTTACACACCTGCCATGGTGAGCCTCATCCATTCCCGTGGCTCAGGTTCCCGGGCGTCTCCTAAACCGAGCTCCCTCCCCCGGCCTCTCTGTCCCCACTGCTACAGGTCTTGCTTAGCCTTTCCAGGCAGCGGCCTCTTTTTTTTTTTTTTTTTAATCCTTACCGTAGGATATTTTTTTCCATTGCTTTTCGGAGAGTGGAAAGGAGACAGGCAGGCAGGCAGGCAGACATCAATTGGTTGCCTCCTGTGTACGCCCTGACCAGGGATTGAGCCTGAACCCAGGCACGTGCCCTTGGCCCGAATTGAACCCATGACCCTTCAGTCCCCCGGCCGGCGCTCTAACCACTAAGCCAAACAGGCTCCTAACTGTTGACTGGGCCTCTGGTTTTTCCAGAGTGGTCATTCTTAAAACCATCTGATTTTGCAACTCCCATGCAGCCCCCCTGGAGGCCTCCTGGGCTGGGCCCCACCGTATAAGATGTAAGCAGCCCCTTTACCGTCTGGGCCCAGCTGGCAGGTTCTTCAGTCTCTGGGCGGACATTTCTCCTGCCACACTGAATCTCTCACCCCAGTCTGTTTCCAGGGCTCACCCTTTGCCTGTGCAGGGCACCCCCCCTTCTCCACCAGCAAAGCTCACCCGTCATCCCGGTGGGAGATTGGTTGCCTTAGCTTTCCCAGGGTCACAGCATCTGCAATATCCATATTCTAAAAGTGAGTTGAATGGATGCATAAATGAGGTTAACAACCCCATGGGTGGGTGATGAGAGAGCCAACCAGAACCTGGCCCTGGTTTGGTGTGTCCCCTCAGGGTTAATTCTTTTTCTTTTTTTAATATATCTTTTTTATTGATTTCAGAGAGAGGAAGGGAGAGGGAGAGAGAGAGATAGAAACATCAATGATGAGAGAGTCATTGATCGAGCCCACAACCCAGGCATGTGCCCTGACCAGGAATCGAACCCCGATCGCCTGGATCCTAGGTCGATGCTCAACCGCTGAGCCCTCCCCGCTGGGCGCCCAGGGTTCTTACAGGGCCTGGACCCTGTGACTGGCCAGCTCAGCAGGCACCCCTCCTGACAGTCAGTGGAGAGCATCCAGGGGGTGAATCAGTGTCACTTCAGCCCGTCCCCCGTTTACATCTGCTGACACCCGCCTACACCCTCGCTCCCTTCCCTCATCCACCCTCTCCTGTCCCCTGCTCACCAAGCCCCTTGCGGATGGCCGGCCTGTGTTATTCCTCCCCTCCCCTCAGCATCTCCTTTTCCCACAGCTCCTCTGCCCCCAGATCCTGGGTCCTCTTCATCCCCAGCTCCTGAAGCCCCGTTACCACGCTTCACTCTTTTCCAGAACAGTCTACACGGCTCATCCCGCCGGCTCCCTCCCCCCCTCCACTGTGCAGACTTCTGTCCTCGACAAGGCCCCCAGGGACCTCTGATTTATGGCTTCCTTGGACTTCTCTAATTAAACTCACCTGAGTCACAGACCCATCTTGACCTGTCCCCGTGGCAGGCAGGCAGGATGGGCTGACTCAGGGGCCACCCAAGGGAGCTGTAGTGGAGAGCAAAGGGGCAGGGATGGGGCCAGGAGCTGTCTGGGAGTCAGGACGCGCGCCCTCCCCCCCGCCCCACCCATTTGGAAGTGCAAGAAACATTGATGTCATTTTTTAAATGTTTGGTAGAATTCACCCCTGAGCTGTCTGGTCCAGGGGCGTTGGCCACTGACTCAATCTCTTCGCTCACTGGAGTGTTCAGTTGCTGTTTGTTCCTGGGTCGCTTTGGGTTTTGGCCTGTTTCTAGGAATTTGCTCAGCTAGGTTACCTGATGTATTGTTCCCAGTATTATCCTTACTTCTGTAAGGCCGGTACTCATGCCCCACTTCCACTTCTGACTTTTGTCATGTGCTTTCTCCGTCTAAAGGTTTGCTCTTTGCTCTCTCCTTCTCAAAGAAGCACTCGTGCTGCTCACGCTGACGAGTTTCTCTGGTCTCTAGTTCACCTCTGAGCCCCTCGTTACTTCCTCCCTCTGCTAGCTCTGCATTTAGTTTTTTCCAGTCCCTTAAGTTAGATTATTGAGACCTCTTTTTTAAAATGTGGACATTTACAGCTAAAGATTTCCCTCTAGCAGTGCTCACACATCTGTTTTGTTTTGTGTCCATCTGTCTGAAAGTATCCTGTCTGTGATTTCTTCTTTGACACTTTGGATGTTGAGTTGTCTAATTCCCACGTATTTGTGAATTTTTGTTTCCCTCCCATTATTTGATATTTAGCTCCATCCCACTGTGGTTAGATGAAGTACTTTGAGAGATTTCGATCTTTCTAACGTACCAGGACTTGTTCTGCGGCCTAACACGTGGTCTGTTGTGGAGAATGTGCATTCTGCTGCTGGGTGGTGTTCCAAGTCTAGCTGGTTTTTGTTTACTTGTGTAATATTTGGTACATGCATAAGAATATACATGACGCACAGGAAGGTGAAAACCTATGAAGCACCACTTGCCTAGGGGTCAGACTGTCACCATCTTCGCTTTTCCCGACACCCTGCCCCATCCCTGAGGATGCAGATGTAGGAACCCCATGAAACACAGCTGGTGTTGATCTCTGAAATGGCATCCACTGCAGAGCCCCACACCCTGCCCTTCTGTCCTGCTCTGCATGAGAGGAGGCGTCCACCATGATGCCAGGGCTGTGGTCCCTGTTCCACTGTCAGATGCCACACCAGTCACACTGTCCAGTCCTTTGTGCATCCTGCCTGAGGACTTTGAGTAGCTTGCAGCCTTGTGTTCACCTCCTGACCTCTCCGTATCCCGCAGTGCAGCAGGCTGGGGTGCACTGATGCTGGGAGACCAGGCATCTGTGGGCTGGCCCCTGTTTTGCCCAACTGCCCCAAAAAGGCCCAGGCGTGGGGGGCTGCTGATGAGAAAGCACTGTGCTGAGCTTTTTCCTGCCTGGCAGCCTTGCTCATCCCAGGGCTGGGCTTCTGGCCCCTGGCCTGGACCTCAGGTGTCCCGTGGCGCTGGGGGTGCGTGCTCACCCCCACAGCCAGGCAAGCTGGAAACAGGCAGCAGCGGGACAAGCCGGCCCACGTCTGGGACCCCAAAATGTCAACAGGCAAGGGCACCTCCTCCCTCTGCCGGCTCGCGAGGCCGGATCCCCCGCTGGGCAGGAAGGTCTGGGCTGGGGGGAGGGCACCAGGCGGCCAGAGCGCCCCACCCCAGGCCGGGCTTCCTGCCCAGCACGCCCACGCCAGGGGACAAGGTGGCAAAGGTGTCTCCCGGGCTGGCGACAGACGCCACCAAACAGCAGGACCGCTTTCAAGCCGCAGCCAACTTGGAAAATTCCAGGGACAGGAGATACCCGCGGGGGGGCGGGGCGGGCGGCGCGAAGGAGGACCCGCCACCGGGGCCACGTGGGAGTCCTTTAATGAGACGGGCGGGCGCCCACCCGGCGCT